TGGCGCGCGAGGGTGTGTGGCTGGATGGAAAGAGCGTCTCTGAGCCTGTGCAGAGGGGCGCCCAAGGCTAGCGGGAGCCGGGCGCGCAGGCAAGAGGCGGGGTTGTTTTTAAGGCTGCCTCCCTTCAGCTGTGTGCGTGCATGCGTGCGTGTGTGAGAGCTACAGCCTGGCCGCCAGTCTCCACCTCTGCCTTGTCTGATAGCAGCTCCCATCATCCCCAGCCAGAGGCTCTTTCCCCCATCCTACACCCTCCAAAGGCTCTGAATGACGACTCCAACCAGCAGGATCCGTCCTCTCCTTTCTTTTTAAAATCACACCAATATTCCTTTTTTTTTTAAAGGCTCTTTTGCCACACCAAGCCTGGACAGACAGTCTGGACAAGCCCCCAGCTCTGCTCCCTCCCGCGGGCTTTAGCCCCGTCTGAAGGGGGCTGCAAAGGGTCCTTGCACTGGTGCTGCTGAAAAACTTGCTGTGGAAACCAGACTCCTGGCCAAGTCCCTACTCCCTTGGCCTCTTCCTCTTTTCCCTAATTTTGACTTTTTTCCAAGGTAGTTGGTGGAAACAGCGTCATGTTGTGGAAAGCAAGGCGGGAGACTGCATTTATGGGAAACACGCAGCCTCCGGGCTTGGGTGCGTGGCTGGTCTCTATCCAAAATGGTTTAGACATTCAAATGTTCAGATGGATCTGAGAGGAAACACAGTCATGTAAGACTTAAAGAAAGGGATCGAATGAACAATTCCCCCCCCCCAGCCCACCCGTGGTCTCTGCAGTTGCATTCACACAGCACAGGAAACTAAACTTGGTTCGTTTTAATCTCAGTTTATTCTTTGATGGCTTAACAGCATGGTCCGGACCAAGTGAGTCATTTCTCTGAAAAAAAATATTCAAGGTCAGAAGAAAGGAATGGGGAGATTCAATGCCATGTATTGTTTAATTTACCCTGGATGAAAAAATGGAATTGAATGAAGTAAATCCAAGGGACGAGGTACCTATCCTTCTGTTCACGCATTGCATTTATCCAAGCCAGGTCAAGACTTCGATAATTCTGTGTGTGTGTGTGTAGCCTAATGCGTGGTGTGCAAAACCAACCTGTTTAGTTGATGGTTCTGTGTATTGTACAAAACCCAAAATGGGTGAATTCAGGGCCCTAGATAGGTGTGTTTGTGAATACTGCCTCTGTGTATTTAATAATAATCTCCCCCCTCTTATGACACCCTAAAAATTAAACTTCCTTGAAGTTTCAGAAGCATTCTGGGGTCCGTTTACAAACGTCTGTGGGACATGGGTTCACCTGACAGGACGGGCATGCACGCACATCTCTGCATGTGGAAACTGAGCATGAAAGGAGCAAGAAATCTAGTTCAGCCTTTGTGACAGACGATGGTGATAATTACGTGCCATCAAGTCGTCGTTCGCTCTTAGCAATTCCACAGTCTCTCCATGATGATTTGTCCTGAGAGGGCAAAAAAATTGATTTTTTTTTTTTTGAACGTGCAAATCTGTCCCATCATAGAAGTTAAGGACTACATCGCTGGCTCAGTCATGTGCCCGGAAATGTGTTATAAAGCATCACAAGGTGCCTTGTGTGGCAAACTGCAATGAAGGCGCTCCATTCAAACTATCTGCTGTGGGTTTTCCCCTGCTTTTATATAGCTGTTGTTTGATTAAGAAAAGGAAGCCAGAAACACGTACAGCTTCAGAGCGCTGCTTTGTGGCCTGTGGGAATCGAGGGCCCAAGGACAGGTGCTCTGCAGTTTAAGAGTTCCGTTCCCAAGGTCTGTCCGTAAGTTGAATTTGTACGTAAGCTGGAACAGTATTATTGTATAATACCATATAAGTTGTATTGTGTAATGAACTTGAACCACTGTGTATTTAACTTGAATTTTGCCAAAAAAGGCTCCGTTCTTAACTATGGGTTGTCCGTAACCCAGGCGTTCTTAACCCAGGGATTACCTGTACCCAGGTTTGGATCACCTGGGGCTCAAAGGAGGCCCTTAAGGGAAGTGTCCAAGCTGGGCCTTAGTTTGCTGGCCAGAAGACCACAGCTAAAGGGGACCAGCTAAGAAACAAAACTAGGAAGGAAAATCTCTCTCTGCAGCCACGAGTGCTCCAAGAATTGTGCGCCTCCTTGGTTTGTAACAAATCTGTGTCCTAGAAAACTGTTGTCTGTTTCAGCCACCCAGGGAGACCCAGCAGTTAAAACGGGCCCTGGGGAAACCCAGCTTCAAATCCACCTTCAGTTCACTGGGTGACTCTGGGCCAATCATGATGTCCAAGCTACCTCCCAGGGTTGTCGTGGGGAAAAAAAATGGAGAACGATGCAGCATACTGTACATTGCGCCAGCAGAAAAGGTGAGATGTAAATCCAATGGCTTGTGGACCACCCCTTCGCTCCAGAATGTTTGAGCCCACGAACTTGATTAAAGTTTCTTTGCAAAGGTTGGCCAACAGGTTTTACATAACCTTGATTGTTTTTCCACGCAACAAACATGCTTTATTCTCCCCCCCCCCCCATTACCTACGCAAGTACTCTTGCGGGCATCATGAGAGGTGTTCCCTCTTGGGGGAGAGAGAATTGCCCAGTGCACGTTTTAGAAATAACTGGTTAACCCGGGTGGTGGGTGAGGCCCCAGAGCTGGAACATCCGTGCTGCAAAGAAGCATTCACGACCTGTCTTGGGATCTAGATGATTTATCCTATTTTGATCCAAGAACGGTTGAAATCGTACCGAAGTCTGGAATGCAAGTTCAACCTTTTCTTGTGTCTGTTTTTAGAAGACCCTGAAGGGGCAAACCCAAAGTCTGGGGGCTGGTGAGTTCTCATCACGCCCCTTTATTTTCCTCTCCAGAATTGGAGACTCTCCCACCTCAGTTCTCTCCGACTCCCGCACCCATAAAGGCTTTGCATGAAAGCTAGGGAATTAGCATTATGGCTCAACCACCCCGCATAAGGGCCAGGAAAGCATAGCCGCGCATGGAGAAATGCTGTCATGGCAACTGTGGCTTTATCTGCTGGCTTATGATAAGTGAGACTGAGCAGATTCGACCTGGCAAGGCAGTGTTTGGAATAGTTTATAACGCTGATGGATTAGACATTAACGGGGCCTTCAGCTCACCGCTCAGAGCTCGTAGGACCTTCCCCCGTGCTTCCTATCTCAGTTAAGTAATGCAGAAGTGGGCGACTCAGAGCCACTTGCACTCCCATTCCCATCCTCCCCAGCCAGCCTGGCAAGGATGGTGGGAGTTGTAGTCCAAACAGAGACTAATGGGCAGGGGGGAGAGTTATGGAGGCAATGGCTTAGCCCCACTCCCAGTACAACCGGGGGGTGGGGTTGGATCAATCATGGTCAATATCGATGCCAAAGTGGTTGGGGGGTTTCTGCTCTCTTCCAAGCTGTAGAGTTTGGAAGAAAAAAAAAAGTTTTAATCAACTTCTAATCCCTTTCAGAAATTGCTCATTAACTACCTCTAAGCTGTTAGAGACTTTTGGGAGGACAAGTTTGAAACGCTGAGTGATCCTGCCTTCAGTCCTGAACCAAAGAAAATTTTAATCATCAGCTTAAGAATTTAAAGAATGTGAAATGAACAGCCAATAGCTAAATAAGATTTTGATCTTAGAAAGTAATAAACGGACTAAGGGTCCAGATAAATTTGGAATATTGACTTTTATGATAAGATTTTGGAATTAACTATAAAAAAATAAATAGCTTCTTGTGGGAAACTGACTTATTTTGGCTATCCTGGCTACTGTTAAGTCGTAACAAAGATAAGTTACTTTATGATTGTAGAAACTGGACACTAGAAGGGACTAAAGATTCTAAACAGAAGGAAAAATACAAGCCTGTCCTTCATGTCAGACTTACAAAATGACCCAAAACGTCATAACATTGGAAATATTAAAGGAGATCTTTGAAGAATGGAGCCAGAAGTCAGTAACTAACCATTGTAAATTAATAATATATTAATAGTAAATTAATAGCTAATATCAACACTGTCAGTAATGATGTCTGCTTCTATGGATAGGCTGTGTCCAAAAGTAGTTAATGAAGGAATGACAGATTTTAGAATAAATTTTATCTCACAAGACAGAGAAAGGACTGAAAGTGGAACTGCAAATGACAGATCAAGAGAATGATTTGGAAAAGGATGCTCTACTGGAGCTATAAAAGAAACCGGCTGAAGTTTTAAAAATTAAAAGGGAAATACAAGAGAATGACCTGGAAAATGTTTTCTTACTGGATCGACAGAAGAGGCTTGCTGAAGCCTTGAAGAAATCTGTGCGATGGGATAAAGAAGAATTGAAGAGAAATCAAATCATGACAATATTTGATTCAAAGATTAAGACTGTTAGAAGTAAAAGGAAGGAATATAAAGTTGGTTTATTTGATCAAGGTTAAGATAAGACTTTTTTTTTTTTTTTTTTGCAAAGTTCTGGCAACCCTTTATGGACTTTTTGCAGACACCAAGATTGAAAAGTTGATGTTTTATGGATTTGCTTTTAGAGGGGATATGGGATGAAGAGATATCTATTTGTAATCTTATAGGGGATGAAGAGTTACTAAATTTGTTTATACTTGTGATGAAGGTTGGAAGTCACTTCTTTATATATTTTTT